AAAAAACATTGATCACTCGGATCCTACGTGTCTATATATTTTGTCATCGACATGTGATACTTACTATTTATATCAAGTAGTACCCGGCCACGCCGGAAAGAAAGTTGCGATCAGATGGTTGGAGGAAATGGATGACCTAGAGAAAGTTCAGCACTGCATCAACGAATGAATGGATGGAAGAGCACATGGATAAAATGAATGGATGAATGGATAGATAGGTCTCGTTCACTTTTTCCGACGGCTTTCCCAGAAAGAGCCGCGTAACATCGCGTAACCACCCAAAAACACCGCAAACTGCTGCAACGATTGATGCTCCCTGTGCAGTTGGCTTGGTAAGTTTAAAAACTTCCCGTTGGCATTTGCCCATAAACTAAAACCCCTTTGATAATAATAATGCATAGTCATACATAATAATGCGCCCATATAGTCATACACATATAAATCATACATACAAACATGTAGAAACTTGATGAAATTTGAGTAAACGTGTTTGTTGCGACAACCATTTTGCGTTGCTGAAGGATCTCAAGCAAAAAGGGCTCGAGATGGTGGTTGTTTACGAAAACATCTTGGATTTCCATTTTCTTCGCTCGCCATTCGGCGAGCGCTGAGGTTTGAGAGTGAAGACGTCCGCGGCTCTGGATCCAGTTTTCCGGAGGCCACATGGGGGATTGAAGCGAAGGAACTTGGGCAACTTTACCATTATAATTATTGGGCTGTGAAGTATCTACAAATAGGTAATTTGGAACTACATAAGCTAACTTTGGGTTTACATATTTGATTAGGAAGTGACTTTGGGTAACTATGGTTCACTAAGGGCAACCTGGGGTTGCCAGATGGAGGGGGTGATAACCCCCATAAACCAAAGGTGGACATGAACACAAATACATGTTTGTTGGACCTTGGAGTGCTGCAGCTTCCAATGTTTCTACCTGGAAATGATGCAAGCTGGAGGATACCCCACTGTTCATTGTTCTTTTAGAATATGTGTTGGATAATAAGTGCGGCAGGCAGCTGTTTGATGCCAAGGGATGCCAAATGTAGCCATGGGTACTGTGATGAACTGGAAAGTAGTATATATATATGTATTATTATGTTTATTTATATGTATATATGCATATTATGTACTCTCTTTGTCTCTCTATTTCTCTCTCTCTCTCTCTGTACACACATCTGGGTAAATTATTACAACCTTACTGTGACCTCACTGGAATCATGGTTAGTAAGAGGAATCATCCCCAAATGGCCTTATTTCAGGAGGCGTGTTGATAATGTGCCTCGCGCTTTCATGTTTTTTTTCATTTTGTTTTCAACATTTTTGCTGTTTTGTTCAACTTTGTTTGATTGCGCCTTTGTTATTTTACATGTGAATGTGACTTTTTTCTGTTGTGGTGTGGTGTGGGATGGGGTGGGGTGGGATGTTAACGCTCAATTGAAACTGATTCCAGTGTTGATGCTATGGTGATGGGGTTGGGATGGGGTGGGGTAGGGTTGAAATTGATTCCAGTGTTGATGCTACGGTGATGATGTGGTAGGGGTCGGGAAGGTCTAGCAGGTGCTAGTGCGTTGGTGGCAAGGTCTTGACCGTGTTTTTCCTTCTAGCCTGCACAACAAGAACGCGAAGCAGTTCAATGAAAGTGTGGCAATATATTTTCGTAGGCATGCATAGGCGCAACTTTGCTGGTGCCCTTTTTTCTAATTGTCAACAAAAACGCTCAGGCCAAATATCAGCGTGTGACCTTACTTCAGGGTTGTGGATTATCTTGTACCCACATGTATATGCATATATATAAATACACATACATAAAAACACACAGGCATGTACAGACAGACCACTAGTTTATCAGTTTATGCATATTGTAGGAATCAAGTGGTGACATGGGTACAAATGTATGTCAAGATTGGTTATGTTTCGAAACTTTTGGGGCCATCCCTGGTTGCCCTGGCCGCGGCAGGTGTTGCCCTTGTTGACCAAGTCCCTTCCTCCTGTACCGCCGCCGACAAGGACCTGACAGGGTCCCAGAGTCTGGGAATCAGCATCCGCCCATCACTTGACCAGATAGGATAGGGCGGTTGATAGTGTTTCTTGACATATATAATTATACATATATGTGATTATGAAATTATATATATATATGCACAACCTGTACATCTTGTTTAATTTTATTTATCTATCCATATATAGCCATCTAAAATCTAACGTTGTATCTATAAAAAATGTTAATGGGTAAAAATATATAGTATATGACATATATATATATATACACTTATAAATACATACACATACTAAATCTATATGTTTTGCCACCTCAATACCCCACAGTTGTCACTGGAACTTCCAAGTCCTTCTACGAGATTTGGTCACAGGAGCGCACCGAACTTCCAAGAAGCACAAGTCCCACCAGCTCCATGCTGGGATTCGGAGCCAAAAGGCCTTGAGGTGCCAATGGTGGCGTGGGAAGATGGAGAACAACCCATTGACAAATGGGATAAACCCACTGAAAGTCACTGAATGGGGACTATTTTTTAAACTCGGCTTATTAACACTTACTATAAGTGGGATGATCCTCCAGGTAGCGTTGCAAAGTGCATTTTCTGGCGGAAGCTGGTCTTTTTGTGAAATATGTTGATCCGGAGCCACACCAGGACCGTAAAAGATGATACGACTTGACCATCATAGAAACATCCGTTTTCAGCGGGACGGTTTTTGCCTTTTGGCCTTCCACTCCGCAGTTGGAGACGTTCCGCAACGAGAAATTGGATGACTGCCTGCGGGTGGGAACCTCGGGGGCCATGTGGCGCTCAACATCACTGGACACCCAGACTGGACCAACGTAGTACCGTAGGGGTATTGGGAAAGTATGAAATATATGTGGTAAATCCCGACAAAAAATAGATAGAAACTATTTTTTCAAATTGTAGAAGCTGGTTGGTGGTTTGGAACATTTTTTATTTTTCCATATATTGGGAATAATCATCCCAACTGACTAATATTTTTCAGAGGGGTTGAAACGACCAACCAGGAAGTATTAAATCCCAGTTTTCGGGTTGATCATGGACCCTGCTATCCCATTTTGGATCATAGCATGGAGACTCTTTAGATCCCGCCATGGGCTGGTGCTATGCCGGTCCTGTAGGATCCTAAAATGGAGGTACTGTGCCTTCTCTACGGCCATATTTTCTGGGGATATTTCCTGAAATTTAGCCCTTAGGTGTTATATATGGTAGGTACCTTCAGTTTAGGTCAGTGAACTGGCTATTGATCATGATCATAATCTTATTTAATGACACTTACGTAATGTTTACCACCACCAGCATCATCATCATCATCATCACCACCATCACCATCATCACCCTCATCCAGACAGTGAACAATAGTCAATACTATTGTACGGCTAAAAATCATCACCATGCCACCCAGCACCTGCGGCAGGTCAAGCCCGCTGTGAACGTTTCGCTGCCATCAGTGGGCTCCATTCTTCATGGCACCGGGACCTGCAAACCCTGCGCCTGGTTTTGGAAGCCGCAGGAGCGGGGGCGGGGAGGTGATGAGCTGATATTTGGTGGGGTCGAGTGTTGCTGGCTGGTGGTATGTTGACAGTGAAATGGTCGGTAATTTATGATTGAAACCGGAAGTTGGTTGACAAAGTGAAACTGGACATTTGGTCATTGTTTGTTGGATGTCACCTGTTGCTGTTCAAACAGAGCCAAAAATGCCCTGGCAATATCGGGGTCCTACTCTTCCAAATGCGATGTTTAACATGGTATATTATTTGTTTATTTATGCTTTGTTTAAATATGTGGCTTAGACACCAAAGTCACTTCTTGACCATTCCAGCTCAGTTTTTGTGAAACATGGGGCAATCGACAAGCCAAATTCCCTAAATTGTTTTGTTGAGCGAGCCCTTCAGAAAACATGGTCAGACAATGTCAAACATATATTTCAGAAATACGATGTTCAACCCAGGTCACATACTATTTGACAACTGCGAAGTTTAACTGCGACACATAGGGAGCGCCTTTTGTGTTGTTTCACCATGCCCTTGCGCTGCCAGGGTTGCCACAATGGATCGGAATGCGGCCACTGTCATTTGTGCCGCTTGGTGCGTACGCTGGTGCTGTGGCTATACCCTTCGGCAATGATTGCCATGGCAAGCGGGGAAATTCCCCAGATATAAATATAAATGGAGGTTTTCATCCGAAGATCATCTTTGGATTTCAGATGGTTGATTTTCTATGATTTTCTATTGCCATGATTACTGGAGGGTATAAAATGATTATTGTATATACATGTATATACTATATTTATATTCTTTTTTTTGGGGCCCCTTGAGTAATTTTGTTGTATGGGGATATATGGAGCCTAGTTCTAGGTTCTATATAGATGTCTAGCAGGCCATGGCCATGCTGATCTTCCATCCTGGAGAAGCCGAAGAAACCTTGGGATTGACCGTGATCGACCCAATTTTAAAAGGGGGTCAGCCAGGTTCAGAGTTCCGTCCGGGCTCACATGAATGGCAACACTTCCAGGATTCGCACATTCGTTCTTTGCCCTTACTGGATTTCCCTAAGCAAAACATTTGAAGGTTTAGTTTGGTTTCTCATACAGATACAGTACACATATATACATATATGTACACATACAATATACAGTACATGTTTTGTAGCCCCTTGGGTCCGACATCCTCTCTTCCCCATTCCCCACTTGTTCTCACCATTTTCGAAGTACCCTAATACGTTTGGAACTGTTTGGATGGTAAAAGATTACGGTTGATTTTGATGGGTTTCCTGATAGCCCTCAAAATACCAAATCCAACAATCTCAAGAAACATGATAATATAATTTACACACACACATGAATGTGTATATTATATATATATATATGCAATTACACACACATTTAAATTTATATATATATAATTTATATATATATATACATATAAATAACATACTAACATACTGTACATAGTATACGCGTATACGTCTGCATATTCTACATGTATACTGTATGTGGCTGACTAGTGCTTCCTACTGGCTTTCAGGCCCGGTGGGTGAGTCCAAGAATCGCCGCCAAGCGAAGATGGCAGCGTGGCGGCAGGGTGGGCCGCCGAGCGGCGCAGCCACCACGTTGCCACCCTTGGCGCTGGTGCCACCGGTGCCCGAGGATGGGGGCATGGCTGGCACGGCTGAAGCCGCGGGTAATGACGACATGGGATTGAAGTGTGGATTATGCTTGGGGGGTGTAGGACTGGGATTATTGACAGTTTTTTTTTGAGTATTACCATGGCCATGCTTCTAACCGCCCATAAGTCGGGATATAACATTGTATATGAGGCCCCCTACACTTAAGGTGAAACATATTCACTAGCCTTAACTGCACATCCTAGGACTATTACTGTATGTGGATTTGCAGAGGTATAAGTTTTAAGTTATCAGTTATCAGTTTCAAGTTTCAACAGATGACGGAAAGTGCTGGAAGGGCATTGATGTAGCTTTGCGGTCCCGGCTCCCGGTCATGACCCACGTGGAAATGTTGTCTCAGCTGGGTGGAACAGCTGTGGGCTCTGGCCTGGTCGTTTTTCAAGCATCAAACTCAGCGCTTTGGCCATTTTGGCACGAAAAAGTGCAAGACAATCGCGGGTTGCAAAAACATGCAAAAACAACACAATTACAGTACTTTGTGATATTTTGTGTTGTGTAGTTGTATACTTTTAATGTTGTTTTCTACTTGGTTGGTTTGAACATCTCAGTCTGACTAGGGCTATCACGTTACGGTGTCTTTGGATGTCTTGCCTTTAGCGCCCTTGCCTTGCTGAAGTATTTCAAGCTACAGTAACTACTGTAGTGCTAGTTTGAGAGATTAATTGAATAGTTATTTCAAGTTTCATCAAGATTCATCATGTTCCTAATGGCGGTATTGTTGTACCGCATACGATTTGCCGAAGGATTTGCCGAAGGAACGTGGCATTTTCATTTCCATAGGTTGAGCACTGGTTGACCCGTTCGTTTGTCAGAGTTTTTTGGGGGATGTTCTGGAAATTAGATGTCAGATTTTGTCGGTTAAATAGTCGTTACCGTGACCCCGAACCCAAGAAAATTATAGTGGAATTTCTCGGGCGTGGACCCACCAAAAAGATCCAAAACTATTTGCACAATCCCGCACTTTCTTAGTGTCCCAATAAACTTCACAGGAAAAGCAAAAACTGGTTTGTTGCGGATGTAGCAAAGACCACCCAAAAACCCTTTGAACCAAACATTTCCAGAAACACCCAGACATTTTGATGTTTAAAAACGCATTGCGGATAGATTTCCAACCAATTTCCAACCCCTTCCCCGTTGCCAGATGCAGGAGCCCTCATGGCGTCCTCCCCCGGGTCTTGAGTTGGATTTGAGCCCGACCAATGCCGTCCCGCCGTTGCCGCCGGTGCCGCCCCCGCCGGTGGCACCACCGCCAGCACCCGCGGCACCATTGGCACCGCTGACGGGGCCGGCGCTGGGATCGGTGGGATCGGCCAAGCACAGCACGGGAGATGCTGGGCGAATCCTGGGATGCCTTGGGTTCCCTCCAATGATCTCCGTTTCGGATGGTATCAGAATGGTATCTGCCAAGATCATGATATATATGGGAATGTGATTGACCCCAATGCTATCAGAATGCGATGGGATCCCTAGAGGGATGGATTTTGGATAATTATTAGTTTCTTGAGGGCATGTTGATGATCATCATTGATATTATATATAAATGATATATAGAATGATATATATATGAGTATACATACATACATACATGCATACATACATACATACATACAATTACATACATACATTTACATACATACATACATACATACATACAATTCCATACATACAATTCCATACATACAATTACATACATACAATTACATGCATACAATTACATGCATACAATTACATACATACAATTACATACATACAAGTATATACATACGTACAATTACATACATACAATTACATACGTACAATTACATACGTACAATTACATACGTACAATTACATACATACAATTACATACGTACAATTACATACGTACAATTACTTACATACAATTACATATACATACAATTACATACGTACAATTACATACGTACAATTACATACGTACAATTTCATACGTGCAATTACATACGTGCAATTACATACGTACAATTACATACATACAATTACATACATACCTTTACATACATACATACATACATACATTTACATCCATACAATTACATACATACAATTACTGCGAATAGAGTGTAAGCTACGGACCAATGTACATTATCATGTAATTCACTCTAAGACTCGAAGCCAAAAGGTTGCTACAATGGCCCTTTTGGCTCAAGACCCCACTGCAGCTCCAGAACAAAGATCTGCCATGCGGAAGCCGCGATTCTTGTGAAGCCGTCACCGAAGCTTTTTACTTCAACCCCAAGTATCAGGATATAATCGGACATACAATCGCCGATTCGCAGGTTATCAGCCGTAGGACTCCTACGGAGCCTACGAGCGGGTAGCCGCGGGCCTTACAGATGACTGAACAGGATAGCAGCGATAACGCATTTTCTTTTTCTGGACATGCCGTTGCACCAGCTGCCGGCACGCAGTCAAATTCTTCACAGAGTATCGACACTGGTGGAAGCGATGCCTCAGAATTGAGAACAAGCCTACCCAGGCGACCTCTGGTTGCTCCTAGAGGGAGACAAATTTCGACAATGCAAGCAATTGAAGATAGGGACAGCACACCCGGAAAGAGAAGATCATCTGCACGACAATTGTCGCCTCCGATGACTCCAAGGACTAAGGCAAAGACTGCGTCGTCGAATCCGCCTTCACCGATTCAGGACGCTACTCCATCAGGGACAGGATCTTATCAACAAGTGAACGCCCCATCAAGTGGTAGCGATATCTTCACTGCCTATCAGAGTGAATTAGCTGAATACAAGACATCACTGGAAAGGGCCACTGAAGAAGAATCCGTACTTCAGGCAAGATTGAGCGAGACGACAGCATATGCCTATCAACAATTTAATTTCCTGGAAAGCACCACTCATCAAGAGATGATGTCGATGACCGAACAACTCCAGATGCTGAACTTCGAGTTACAGGCTGCACAGCAAGAAGACGAAGGTGCGACCTACAGGATCGAAGAGTTGGAAAGGTATCAGACTATGTCGAATGAAGCTGCATCTCATTTGGAATTCAAATATTCACGACTACGTTCGGAATTCGATGAACAAATGGGACAAGCAAACGCAATTATGGTGCATGTGGGCGCTGATGCGAATGCTCACATCAATCAACTCAGACTGGAACTGGAAAACGCAGAGATGAATGCCAAGCAGGAAGCTCTAGCGGTCGGCTATGCCAACGACCAAACATGTGCTTTACAGATCGAGATGCTCGAGGTTGCTAATCAGAACCAGACGATGAAGCACACCATGGCCATGAACATCAGGCGACTGGAAACTGAGCTCGATGCTGCTGACATGAAGAGGGACGAGATCATGAAGGAGTTCCGTAGTAACATAAGATCTGAACATGACCGTTATGCAGAATGTGAACATCACTTAGCTTTGGAAGAATCGCAACTTCGATTGCAGGTGATCCACAATGAGAACTTACAATCTCGACTAGCGATTTCTGATAACAGGGTTTCTGAAGAATCTCTAGCTGAATCAGGTGGCATGCGGGACATGAGGATCATGGGACTACGTTCTGAACTACACATGAAACAAAGTCTTTTAGATCGAATGCAACAGCAACTGACTGAATCGAAGAATCAGTATCATGAACTTTCCTGTCAACAAGCCAGAAGATCATCACCAAGCAGATCACCGCATGGAGGACCTCTCTATGAGATGTACATGCAAGCCGTGCGTGAACGTGACAGCTTGAAAGAATCCAAGGCCGAAGTTGACAAGTTGTACTTGCAGAATAGATCTGAACTCATTGACACTGAGGACCTGCTCAAAGTATTCCAGCGAAACTTTGATGAAACTGGTAAGAAATATCAAGATGCTCTGAACAAGATCGATCACATGAGTAACAATCCGAATGTGACGAGTACCTTGTTTGACAGTTTGCACAATGAAATCAATGACAGGGATACAGCTATTGCTCGCCTTCATACTGAACTTGAAGCCCAAAAGGACTCTCTTGAGCGTGCTCACAGGGATGCAGGTAAGTCCATCAAGATGTTGAACGACAGAAGACTCGTGATCAAAGGTGCGACTGACTATTCCATTCCTGAAAGCCATTTGACCGAGATGCATCAATTGGCCAATGAGCGTTACGCTGAGGTAGAAGAAATGTCGAGCACTATTGCTGCCCTGAAGTTGGAAAACCAAGCTCATTCTTCTTCATTAATGAATAGACCGACTACATTACATGGGTACCCCAGTAATGCCATGCCTCGGAATGAATGTGAAGAGAAGTGTGCCAAACTGAAAGCAGAGTTGGACGAGATGAAGCAAGAGAGGAACGCTGAAGTTCGAAATCTTCAAGATGAGTTGAAGAAGATGGAAGATCGTAAAGATTACTATAAGAACAATTTCTCTCAAGCTGAAGATCGTGCCAATGATGAAGAGCAGGAATATCGAGCAGAAGCTGAAGCCTTCGAAAAGCTCAGGAACGAGTACAACACAAATGTCAGGGAGTTGGAGAACCTTGAAAGGGATAGATCCAAGTCATCCGTATCCCTAAGAGAAGCCGAAAAGATCAGCCTCCAACCCTGGCCTAAGACCACTGAACTTTCATCCTGGAAGGGAAGTGTCGTTCATGAAGTTTGCGTTGCAAGTGGAGATCGAAACTATGAAGATTGGAAAGCATGGCTAGCTCCGTGTCTTGCAGATCAACCTGACTTGGAGGCGCTGGCCAAAGCTCCTGATGTGAGATTCCAATCCATTGATGCCAAGCTCTCCAACGCCTTGAGGAAAGTCATTGACAATGCTGGGGACAAGTCCATGCAAGTGAAGTATGACATGTCCATGAAGAACCAATTGTATGGGAGGAGTGGGGACTTCATCAAGGGACGAGAACTATTTGCAATGATATTGATTAGCTTCAAGTCACCTGACCACACTGAAGTTCTCTACAATGCCCATCATTTGTATATGTTCAACTACTATGGAGATGACCAACTTGAGGCCTTCTACAACAAGTGGCTTGACATCGTATACAATATGAAACATGATGATCTGCCTTCCAACAATTCCCTGCGTGACACGTTGTTCCGGAAGATTGAACATTCAAAACTTATGGCCTTCGATATCAACCGATACAAAACCTTTGATGAAGGGCATCATGAGAAGACCTATGCTTACCTAACTGGTATGATCAAGGGATACATAGCACGAGGGAAGCAAGAACGACTGTTGAAAGATAGAGAACGTGCGGTGAAACTGTCATTGTCCTCTAACAAGACGGCACCTGCCTTAGAAGATGCAGACAAGCCTGCTGCTCCCGTCAAGACCAAGAAGGAGAATGAAGCGGCCGCATCGTCTACAGGTGATCCTCCCAAACGTCCTAAGGCGAAAGCGAAGAGTGAAGCTGCATCGGTACTTCCTACACCTTCTCCGAAATCCCATGCCGACAAAAACAACAAGAAAGGCAAAGGTGGGAAGGGAAGATCATCTTCACCCGTTGACAAGAAGAAGATATTCTGTAACTACTTCTTCAATAAGGGAGGATGCAACAAAGGTGACAAATGTCTTTACAGTCACTCTCAGAAGGTCTATGATGCCAAGATGAAAGGTAAGAAAGGCAGAAGCGGAAGTAGAGATTCATCAAGAGGGAAAAGTAGAGGAAGTTCATCTTCAGCTGGACCCAAAAAGAAGGTATGTTGGAATTGGCAAGAGGGTACCTGCAAGTTCGGAAGCAAATGTAAATTCCTACATGCAGATAAATCGCCTTCAGCATCCTCAGAGAGAACCAGCAAGAAGACGCCAAGGAAGAAGGCGACTCCAATTACCATTGATTCCTTCTTTGATAGCGACAATGAAGATTCCATGGATTATACCTCACCGAGGATAGCCAGTGCAAAGAAGTCTTCTGATGATCGCAGGATCTCATTTGATCTGGAACCTGAGGTGCACGAGATCGCCATTGAGGACTATCAGGAGGGACTACCCAAACGTATGTATCGTGACCCCAACAAGCAATATGTCTTCTGGAAAGTTGATGATTTGACCGACGATCAGTCCAAGTCCGACAACACCCTCGGTTCAGTCCGAGCACGGGCCAAGGCTATCATCATGGACAGATGTGGACTCCATCGTTTCGTTGATGAAGTTAGAATCATTATTGGCCCCAAGTTCGACATGCTGATCAAACTGGACTATAATCATGATGACTTGACTTTCATTGAAGAGCTTGTTGAACATGAAACTGGAAAATCCCTCATGAAGTCCAAGAACGTGATGTGCATTTCACTACCAGTGCAAGCCAAAGATCGTAGATTCATCCTGGATTCTGGCAGCGGACACGATCTGATTTCTGCAAGGA